CAGTCTGATCCCTTTGGCCCAAGGCCTAGATGAAAGCTGAGCAGGGTTGGAAAGAAGAGAGTGGATGCCAGTGATGAGTGCTGGCTGCCAGCTGTATGAGGTGAGGGTCTTCCTCTAGAAGCTGCGTGTATCATCCTGGAGAGCTTCAGGTGGCAGATCTTGGGGGTGGAGGACACTGCTCATTTGGAGTGGGTGGTGATCAATAGCTCCTATCTACCAGTTTGTGAGGAACTGTGCCATACCTCCAGTCCTACCTGTATCATTCTTTTTAAGTTTCCCAACAGCTCTTATTATTTTTTTTAGCTCTTTTTATTATTTTTTTATCTGACAGCTGGTAAGCAAAAGCTCAGAAAAGTTAAGGAACCTGCTAAAGATCACAGAGCAATTAACAAGTCACAAGACTGTCTCCAGAGCCAGTACTCAGCAAGTGATCACACATAGTGATCACCATCCTGCCCCTCTGGAAGGTTATCTGAGAGAGGAGAACACCGCCCCAGGCCTTCCATGTGGCCCCTGCTGCTAGGAGTCAGTTCATAAAAACAGACAGTCCATCTGGGATCTCTGTTGAAAGGACTGCAGACTGTTACAACTGGGGGCTGGTGGGAGCTGGAAGCTCCCAAGGTAGAGAGAAGAGAGAGAAGGCAGAGGAGGTGTGTCTAGCAGGGATGAAGCCTCCTGTACAGACAGTGCCCAAAACAGTTGGCTGACATCTTCATTTTGGCTGGCCACTCTGGCAGGAGCAACACATAAACAAAGGCAGAACAGGGGGGAGCTGGGGCTGGCTGAGGCACCTGCTTGATGCCCTGCCAGTTGTCCTTGACTCTGAGGGCAGGACACTCTTCCACTAACCTGGTGGCAGTAAGCCTTCACAGTTCCTAGTCTGAACTCATTAATTCTCAGATTTCAGCATCTCCCGCAGCACCTACTAAACAGATCTGCTTCTTTAAGAGAATAATTTAAAAAATGTTATTGGTAAACCCAGCACTTGAAGATCAAAGGTGCCTGCCTTTAAGTCCAGCACTTGGGAGGCAAAAGCTGGTGGATCTCTCTGAGTTCCAGGTCAGCCAGAGCTACATAGTGAGACCCTGTCTCAAAAACAAAACAAAACAAAAGCCCAGCGTGGTGACACACTTTAGTCCTAGTACTTGGGAGGCAGAGGCAGGTAGAGCTCTGTGAGATCAAGGCCAGCTTGGTCTACATAGTGAGTTTCAGGCCAGCTAGAGCTATAAGGAGACCATGTCTCAAGATTAAAAAAAAAAAAAAAAAAAAAAAAAAAAAAAAAAAAAAAAATTTGGAAAAGGAAAAAAGACAGCAAAAGTAAAAAGAGAACCATGTGCCAAAATTAAAAAAAAAAAAAAAAAAAAAGGTGCTAGAGAGATGGTTCAGTGGTTAAAAGTACTGGCTGCTCTTGCATAGGACCTGGGTTGTTCCTAGCACCCACACAGAGACTCGTAACTCCAGTTCCAGGGGATTTGACACCCTCTTCTGATATCCACGGGTACTGCACTACATGGGTGCACTTACATGCAACAAAAGTCATACACAGAAAACAAAAGTAAAACAAAGATTTAAGAGACAGAGCAGAGCATAGCAACCAATACCACAATGAGGCATTGCTGGGACCCCCATTCAAACAAACCCTTTGTAAGGGGGCATTTTAAGATGATCAGGGGAAAATCTGAACATATTCATGAATAAACATGTTGAGCCTGGTTTGTTAGCACCGACCTGTAATCCCAGTATTTGGGAAGTGGCAGCAGAAAGATCAGGAATTCAAGGAAAGCTGGGGCTACATGAGACCGTCTCAAAAAAACAAATAAATAAAATGCCTTACCTATTAGAGACCTGTTAGAGATACTAGAATGTGTGTGAAATGATATATCTAGAATTGGTTGGTTGATTATGGTATTAGATTGAACTGAGTGCCTTGCACATTCTAAGTAAATGCTCTACAACTGAGCTATGTCTTCTTGTTCTCACTACCCTTCCCCCCCTTTTAAAAAGACTTATGTGAATGAATGTTTTGCCTCATGTATGTAAGTGCACTATATGTACACTTGATGTCAGGGGAGGCTAGTAGAGGGTGTCAGATACCCTGGAACTGGAGTTAGAAATGGTTGTGAGCTACCACATGGGTTCTGGGAACCAAACCTGGGTTCTCTGAAAGAGCAGCAAGTACTCATCTCTCCAGCCCATCCCATCCCTTTTTTTTTGAGACAGGGTCTCATGTAGCTGAGGCAGGCCTCAACCTCATTAAATAACTGATGCTGGATTTGAACTGTTCCTCCCGTTTCTACCTTTCAAGTGCTGGAATTATAGGTGCATGCCACCATATCCAGCTTTCCTCAGCTCTCTTGATATTTTTTTTAAAAAATTATGTGGAGGTATGTGTATGTATGTGAATGTGCCCTCAGAGGCCAAAGGCATCAGATCCCCTGTAGCTGGAGTTGCAGACAGTTGTCCCCATCCTTGGAAGGGGTTGCTAAAGATGTAGGTGTTTGAGTCTTGATCTTCCCGTGCCGTCTCCTGGAAGGCAGAGGAACTTAGAAGCTGGAAGGGAGGAGGAAGGCAGGGGCTAGGTGGGACCAGGTGCTAACACAGGAGAGCCTCAGGCACATGCTGGGTCACCACAGGCCCCTCTCTAAGTGGGGGCCACAGATGTCTCCCTGTGATTCATTTGGAATACCTAAATGATCCTCTTATGGACAGGATCATTGGAGACCTTGCTGTGTTGTGACAGGTTTGAGATCTAATCCATAGGAATCACTTATTTACCTAAGCTGCTCTCAAACTCAATATGTAGCTAAGAATGACTTTGAATTTCTGATCCTCCTTCCTCTGCCTTTGAGTTCTAGGATTACAGGGGTACACCACCAAGCCTGATTCATGTGGTACTGGGGGAACGAACCCAAGGCCTCATGTATACTAGGCAAGCGCTCTACCAACTAAGCTGCATCCCTAACCCTAAATCACCTGTTAAAAGTGTACCACGGGCAATTCATTTTCAGGATTCCTCCCTGCTGCAGCGAGCTGTTAACTCTACTTAATAAAACCTTGCTTTCCCTTCAAAAAAAAAAGTGCTATTATCGTGTCTTTCAGTGTATTTGGACTTGTGCAACTATCATCATCTTCAGGGCTTTTTTTGTGGCTCTGAAGATGGAGATTTTATATATATATATATATATATACACACACACACACACAAACACATAACACACACACAAACACATACATATATACATATGCTAGACAAGTCCACAGAGCCACACCCCATCCAGCTTCAGAACACATTGTCTTTCTTCTACAGTTTGCATCTGGAGTGATCTCCAAAAGACCCATGTGCAGAGCTTGGTCCTCAGTTTGTGTCACCACTAAGAGGTGACAGAATCTTCAAGAGGAAGGGCCTAGTTGGAGAAAGTGAGGTCACTGGGGGTGTGCCCTTCAAGGTGCAAAGACCCCACCCTTTACTCTCTGCTTCCTGGCAGCTATGAGTTGAGCAGCTGTTCCAGGTCCTCTTTCCCAACCTTCCTTCCTGCCTCCCTCCCTCCTTCCCTCCTTTATTTCCCCACAGGTTCAGAAACCATGGAGTCTACTTACCATGGAGTGAAACTTCCAAAACTGTGAGCCAAAATAAGCTTTTTGTCTTTTTAAGTTCATTTTCTTAGGCAATTTATCAGTGATATCAAGTCACCTAACACATTACCCTAAGAAAACTGGACCCCTTAGCATTTCCCATCCTCTTTCCCCTACGCCCAGCCAACCACCTACCTACATTTTTAATTTTATGTGTATGAGTGTATAGCCTGCATGTATGTAAGTGCACCCATGTTGTGCAATGCTCCTGGAAGTCAGAAGAGGGATTCAGATCTCCTAGAACTGGAGTTAAGGATGGTTAGCCACCGCATGTGTGCTGGACCTGAACCTGGGTATCTGCAAGAGCAATCACTGCTCTTAACTACTAAGCCATCTCTCCAGCCCCACCACGTACCTACCTTTACCTCTATGAATTTGCTAATTCTGGAAGCTGCATAAAAGATGGGAACGGTTGGGCACACAGCTCTGTGGAGCACTTGTCTAGTTCCATCCCCAGCACCAAAAAAGAGAGGGGTGGGATATAATCTGGTAAGACTAGTTTCTTTTATTTTGTATGACTCAGAGTTGTAATAGCAATACTTCACTCCTTTTACTGCTGAAGAGTATTCTATTATATGAATATACTGTATTTATCCATTAGCTGCTGGACAGTTGGGTTGTCTCCCACTTTATGACTGTGAAGAACGCTGCTGTGACTCCATGTATAAGTTCTGCAGACATGTGCGGTCAGTTCTCTTCCTTAATTCCCTACTGAGATGTGTAGAGTGTTACCCTTTTCTCTGCCTCTCCACCCGTTGTTTCTGTAAACATTACCACGAGGGAAAAATGCTTAACCTTTTGAGGATAATCAGACTTTTCCAGAGCGGCTGCATTATCTAATCCTCTTTGGAAGAAAAAGGGAGCCTGAGGCCTAGAGAGGGGAAATGTCTTCCATAGAGGTAAGAATCAGAGAGTCCAGGACAGGCAGGGATCATGCATATGAACTCAATGCCACTCCCTTCCCCACTGTCACCTAGCACTTGCCATAGCCACCATTTCCCAGCCAAGCAGTAACCCCTATCCCTCAGTGCTTCCCCACCACTGCCATCAGGATCAAGCCTGCTTCTGAGATGACTTCCAAGCCACCTGCCTTCTGCTTCTGGTCCAGACTTGCTGTAGAGAGTCTATGAACTCAAAAATGGGTTTCTCTTATGGTGTTTTGTTTTGGTGCTGGAGATAAAACCCAGGCTCATGATGTACAGTTAGTTTAGACTCTACTACTGAGCTACATCCCCAAGCCTCTCATGAATTCTCTGAAGACAAAGGGCCATATCTCTTTCACCTTGGGGCTCTTCAGCCCTGGTTCAAGACAACACTCCTGTTGGCAGAAGATAGTCAGAACCCACAGAGGCAACACTTTCACAGGCAAAAAGAGAAAACAGGATTGTTTAATTAGTAGAGTCAAGAGTTGCTTGTTCTTGATTACAGTGCTCAACATGCAAATTACATCCAACTCTTGGTACAGAAATGGCACCCTGCCACTTCCCTGGGGCTGTTCATCTAGACAGAGGATTTCTGGTCACCCTGATCTATGTATCCATCAGCAGCTGCCCTCGTGCCCTCTGACAGTGATATGTAAATTCTCTCCTGTCCAGAGGAACTGGGAAATGAGGTCACTCGTTCAAATGAGTAGCCATTTACAGTACAGCACCATTGACTGGCCAATGGATTTGATATTTTCTCAAGTTCAGATCAAGAACTTGTATTATGTAACCTGTCTCTGATGATCCCAAAGGCACTTGAGAGTCTGGCCGTGCCTCAGGGTCACCTGTTTTCACTGGACAACATGAAGAGATATGAAAGGCTTGCTGAGTCTGCCCTGGCCCTGGGGATTCACTCTTGAAAGAGTTGATTTCAATAAGGATAGGACACACTGACTCTGCGTGGTTCTGTAGGCTCAAGTGAGCAGTGCAGAAGTTCTAAGTTCCTCAGCTGCAGTCTCTAAACTTTCGATAGTGAAAATGTATTACTTTTGTAAAGAAAGTTAAAAAATACTAACAAGAAATTAAAGGTAAAATGCAGGGTGTTTGGATCCTAAGAAAACAGGAGTTTACTGTGGTTAGAAGTCAGGCTGACTGAACATAATGACTAGTTAGAACTGATGATGCTTCTTCCAAAGGCTGAAATTTTTGCTAAGTTTTGATATATTCTTGGTAGCTTGGGTTTTCCCCTTTCTCTGACTTTCTAAACTAGAGTCACCTGAGGAACTTTTACAACCTTTTAAAACAGCACATCATCCAGCAACTCCTCTTTCCTCTAGTTTCCAACACAAAGGGGAACCCAGCTCAGACAAGAATGAGCCTGCTGCACGCCCGCCAGCCCTTGCATCCTCCTTTTATTCTCAGAGGCTCCAGCTCCAACGAAAGTTACAAGGTTAAGCATTACTCCAAGTTCCGGACACAGCTAATCCCTGCACAGTGTTCAGAAAATTGACGTCTGCAATTCCTTTTTGAACATGCCTTCGAAGTGGAGGTCTTTGGCCATGAGTTCTTCTTCCACATCATCCAGTGCCCACTGGTGATCTGTCAGCTCCAAAGCTTCCCACTCTGTCTGCACAGGAAGAGAACGTAGGGCAGGGAGAGAGCTTGTCACTGATGGGGATGGCCTGGAGCAACCACCACTCCGACCAGAGGCAGAACAAAGCTAGTGATATAAGTTCACTGGATCTTGTGAGGCAGGCACTCTGATCCTTCGCACCTGCCCAGCTCTGTTAACTTTCATAAAGTAACAAAAAACTCACAAAGGCCAGATGTAGTGGCACACGACTGCAATTCTAGCACCTGGAAGGTGGAAGCAGGAGGATTAGAAGTTCAAGGTCATCTCTAGCTACACAGCCAAATCCAGGACAGTTTGGGCTAAATGAGACCCTGCCTCAAAACAAACACTCCAAACCCAAAGCCAGCCTGGTCTACATAGCAAGTTCCAGGTCAGTCAGGGCTATATAGTATGACCCTGTCTCAAGAACAAAAACCAAAAACCAAACAAAACCCAAAACTAAGAAACAAACAAAACCACAATCTAAGATCACAAAGATTTGTGCACATTTTTTTGTTTGTTTTTTGTTTTTTGAAGACAGGGATTCCCAATAGCCTGAACTGGCCTGGAACTCGCTATGCAAACCATGCTGGCTTGGATCTCAGAGTTCCCCCTGCCTCTACCTTCTAAGTACTGGGTGGGATTAAAGATGTGCACCACCATACCTGGCCTATGTTTTATTATGCTCATATTTTAGCTCTTAAATTTAAGTCTTTGATCCATCAATATATTGTTGTTGTTGTTTTATTTGAGGCAAGGTCTCATATAGTCCAGGATGACTTCAAACTCATGATCTTCCAGTCTCAACCTCCCAAGTACTGGGATTATAGGCATGTGTCACCATGCCTGGCCCATCAAATTTATTTTTGAGACAGGGTCTCACTATGTACCCTCTTACTCACAGAGATCCTTCTGCCTCTACCTCCCTCCAGAGTGCTGGGATTAAAGACGTGCTAACATGCCTGGCTAATTTAAAATTTTTTAAAGATTTATTTAAAATATTTATTCATTTATTAAAATTTTTTGAGACAGAACCTCACTATGCAGCTCTTGTTGGCTGCAAAAAAATATTTTTTTTACATTTAAATCAGTTTTATTTAAGAAATTTCCAATAATAACAATGACTAAAAGCACCCAAGCACAAGACACAGAGCTGCAGCAAACATTAACAACAAAATCACTTCTTGTACTCGGGGTCAATCCATGCATTCTTTTCTTTTTTTTTTTGGATTTTTTGAGGCAGGGTCTCCCTGTAGCCCCAGCTGTCCTGGAACTCACTATGTAGACCAGGCCAGCCTTGAACTCACAGAGATACTCCTGCTTCTGCCTCCCAAGTGCCGGGATCAAAGGTGTGCGCTACCATGCCCAGCAGCATGCATTCTTTGTACTGCCTTGTACAATTTCCAGTGCACTAAAGGTCAGTGGATTCACAAAGGAAACCCAACTCTCAAAAGGCTTTCCAATCAAATCAAAGAACAGATTTCTCTATTTTGGAAAACTCATCACTTTTCCTTTGCATTTCATTACCTCTAATTTATGACCAAAGTTATTGTCAACAAAATGAGAATTTTATTTAGAAAAAATTTAAACCCCTTGCTTAAATATAAATGGAGTGGGGGCCAGGTGTGATGGTGCACGCCTTTAATCCAGCACCCCAGAGGCAGAGGCAGGCGGATCTCTGTGAGTTCAAGGTCAGCCTGGTCAACATAGTGAGTTCCAGGACAGCTGGGGCTACAAGAAGACCCTGTCTCAAAAAGACCAAAAAAAATAAAAATAAATAAATAAATAAATTACATTTATTTATGCACATGTGTACATGAACATGTAGCATGGAGCATGTGCGGAGGTCAGAGGACAATCTTGGGGAACCAGTTTTCTCCTTCTACCAGGTGGATAAGGAGGTTAAACTCCTGGGGCTTAAGTTAAACTCAGGTTCATCAGTCTTGGTGGCAAATGTCTTTACCCACTGAACCATCTCACTGGCCCTTATTTTTATCTTTTAGTTATATGTACATATGTCTCTGTGTGTGGGTATGTGCATGTGAGTGCAGGTGCCTTTGAAGATCAGAACAGGGTGTTGGATCCTCTGGAGTTACAGGCAGTTATGAGCCACCCAACATAGGTGCTGGGAACTAAACTTGGTTCCTTTGAAGAACAGTCTGTACTCTCTCTCTCTCTCTCTCTTTTTTTTTTTTTTTTTTTTGGTGGTTTTGAGACAAGGTCTCCCTGTAGCCGCAGCTGGCCTGGATTCGCTAATGGAGACCAGGCTGACCTCAAACTCACAGAGATCCACCTGCCTCTGCCTCCGGAGTGCTGGGATTAAAGGTGTGCGCCACCATGCCTGGCCCTTTTATTTATTATTTTTATTTTATGTGTATGAGTGTATAAGTGCACCAGTGTCATGCAGTGCCCACAGAGGTCAGAGGAGGGTGCTGGATCCCCTGGAACTGAAGTTATAGACAGTTGTTAGCTGCCATGTGGGTGCTGGGAATCGAACCTGGGTCCTCTGAAAGAACATCCAGTGGTATTAACGGCTGAGCTATCGCTCCAGCCCCTGACCTAACATTTGTAAATGGTGGGGAATGTCTACCTTCATTCTTTAAAAAAAAAAAAATTAATTCCATTTATCTGTGTGTGAATGAGTACGTGTACACATGTCACAGCAAATGAGATCAGAGGACAACTTACCTGTTCTCTCCCTCGTCCATGTGGGTCTTGGGGATTGAACGCAGGGTTGTCAAGACTGGCAGCAGGAACTTTTCCTTGCTAAGTTATTGTACCTGCCCCCTTCAGCTTTGTTCTTTTTAATGTTGGCATCTTTTTCTTAGCACTGTTTGTTGAAGAGACTGGTTTATTTATTTATTTTATTCATTTTTAGCCGGGCGTGGTGGTGCATGCCTTGCCTGTGACCCCAGCACTTGGGAGGCAGAGGCAGGCGGATCTTTGTGAGTTTGAAGTCAGCCTGGTCTACATAGCAAGTTCCAGGCTGGGAACTGAAAGAGAGTTCTCAGTAAGAGCAGGAAGTGCTCTTAATTGCTGAGCCATCTCTGTAGTCCTGAGACTATTCTTTTTCCCCACTAAATTATCCTGGCACTGTTGTGAGAAACCAGTCAAGCATACATTATCATCAAATTATCATAAATGTATTTAAATAAAAAATATTCATTGATCTCTCAGCCCTCAATTCTCCTCCACAGGTTTACTTTTCTACCCTCTCACCAGTATTGCAGTTTTGATTATTGTGGCTTTACAGGTTTTTAAACCAGGAAATGGTTGTTATTTGCCATGCTGTTCCTCTGATGGAGCAGCCAGTGCTCTTAACCACAGAGCTAGCTCTCTAGCCACCCCCCATCCTTTAAAAATAAACAACAAACAAAGAAATAAATAACCCCCACCCCAGAGTTGCATTATGTAACTATGACTGGCCTAGAACTCATTATGTATACTAGGCTGGCCTTGAATTCAGAGATCTGTCTGCCTCTGCCTCCCAAGTGCTGGGATTAAAGGCATGTGCCATACCTATCCTCCCTAAAATTTTTAATTTATTGACTTACTTGTGTGTACTATGTTTGTTGTGGGTATATGTGTTTAGCATATGTGTGGAGGTCAGAAGACTGGTGGGAGATTAGTTTTTCCTTCTACCATGTGGGACTTAGGGATCAAACTCAGGCCATCAGGCTTGGCAGCAAGCTCCTTTAACTGCTGAGCCAACTCATCAGTTCTAATGTTGAGTTCTAAGAGTTCTTTATATATTCTGGTGTAACAGAATGAGGGAGTTCCATTTTATTTTAGTTTTTATCATGAAAAAAAAAATCAAGTAATGGGAGCTGGAGAGATGGCTCAGTGGTTGAGAGCACTGGCTACTCTTGCAGAGGATGTGGATTCGGTTCCCAGCACCCACATAGCAGCTTACAACCTGCTGTAAATCCAGGAGTTTAAAGCCAGCCTCTACTAGTCTTTGCAGGTACCAGGTACACAGACATATATGTAGGGAAGCACTCATACAATAAAAACAAAACTTAAAAAAAAAAAAGTCAAGTGAGATTTTGCTGTATACAAATCATACCAGGGGCTGGCTGGATGGCTTCCACACATTCACCATGGCATGCTTATCCCCAAATAAATTAATAAATGTAATACAAGAATTAAAAATAGATAAATAAGTCAGTGGTTAAGAGCACTGACTGCTCTTGCAGAGGACCCGGGTTTGATTTCCAGCACCCACATGGCAACTATGAACTGTCCTTAACTCCAGTTCCAGGGGAATCTGGAGCTGTCTTCTGACCTCCACGGCACTGCACGACACGGGTGCACTCATACATGCAGGCAATACACTCGTACACATAAAATAAAAATAATAAAATATTTAAAATACAAAGCAAGATGAAGTGCCATA